TTAGAATAAAAAACTAAAACTGTTTTAAAGTAAGTAGAATGACAATCCCGACCCAGATTTGTAGCCAAGGAGTCAATCTGACACCATTCCTCGAATTTACTTCAGATAGTTTTCTGCCGCTGCAACAACAAAAACCACACCAAGTTTCTAAATAATGTTTTATCGTATTTAATATTATATGCGTACTAATGCAGTTGTGCAAAAGAAAATTAAAATTTCACCATTCCTTAAATACTTTTATTCATCAATACAATTGAACACTTAGATGAACTACTACTCTAGTCCATATCTTAAATGTTGTTGCGATAGCAGTATGAAATAATTTTTAGAGCCTACCGAGTTGACAGTCTTTAGTCGGATAAAAATCCAGCTTTTCTCTGGTTACAGAGATCCGAAAGATGCGTTAACGGTCCGTTTAAATATGTAACTCCCGAGACCCACTGTTAAATATCGCGTTGTAAACATGTGCACATATACATAGGCGTGAGCGTTTATATAAACTTTATAGTTTTTTTACCATGCGTACCCACAACACAATCATACTACTCTTGTTTTCATAAAAAAAAGATTAAGTGTTGAGTAAGAAAAGGCGGGAGTGAGCCAAGAATTTGTAGTTTCCAACAATTTTAACAGCTTGATATTTTTACCGCAAAATTATGATTTTAAATTGTTAAAATAAAAAAAAACACTTTCTACAACTTGAGCCTAAAAACTCAACAGCCACTTCCCGCCGACACGGCAACAAATCGTTCCAGCAGATAACAGACAAAAATGTACAATATTAACTTGTATCTACTTTTCAAAATACATATTAAAGCTATGAACATGAATAATATAGATTGTAACTATACACAAGCATTCATATGGAAATACATATTTCTAGTAAAGCTGACGCAGAACAGTTCCCAGTTCGTTCTTTAATTCAAAGTTAGGTTCGATTTTATGGTGAATTGTAGCAAAAACAAGATAAAACGGGAACTGCGGTTGCACCAGAGCTAAAATACCATTCGCAAATAAAAAAAGTTACCATACTATTTAATTTGATTGGTCAGTTTTTATGTCAGCCATACTGGTCTGATATAAAGAATTTTGAAGATTGTAATACAGATTTGGACAATAATCCATGCAAATTTCGTGAAGATAGCTGTTAAATTAACAACTTTTTCCTACAAAAATTTTATTTCGATCATTTAGTTTGCATGGAAATTTAATTCAGATGTTATTAGTTTTGCCTTGGACAATAAGTTATTCCAATTTTCAGAAGATATGGTCGCGACAACTGAAGGACTAGTTCACGTATAATCAGACGCAGATACCGTTCCCACGACAGTCGGGTCTACGCAAACCGGAACGGASCCGGATTTTTATCCGGCCAAGGACTGCCAACTCGGCAGAATTCTGCCGTTACAACAACAACAACAGACGCTTGTCATACTGATTATTTTTATATAAATTTTACAGAGTCTCCGACGTATAAAAATAATATAAAAAAAAGTAAATAATTTGAAACCCTCGAAGTGAAGCAAATCCTGCATAATTGCAATCTTAGGTTCATTGGATTTCTATAAATTGCATATTGGAGTGGCTTTAGCATCATCTAAGTATGAATTTATGTGCAAATGTATTATTGCAACAGGCAAAATATTTAATGCAACATGAATCGTTACAAGGCATAAGTTTTATATATATAGTATGCTCAACTTACTAAATGATAAGATTACGTTGAGACATAAAATTCATTCAGTTTTTACAGTTTTTTTCGAGATATATATATGCATAAACATTTGAAGATAAGAATTATTTTAAAATTTAGCTGTTTAACCAGATGTTTATGTATGAGCCCAAAAAAGTAATAAAAAAAAAAGTATGCTTAAGTTTATACAAACAAATGTGTATTTGAATCTCGATTAATATGCATGTCAAACTAGTAAATGAAGCATCTTAGAGAAAAGTTTAAGTAAAAGAGAATACTTTGATAAATGCGACAACGATGGAATATGCTCTCAATGTGTTATTACCAAACAAAAAGATATGGCATATCAGTTGGATTAAAAAATTTTATAATGGAATTAAAGTTCTWGCAGATTAGTAGTTGGTAGTTTTTCTGCACAGAAAATTTTACAAAATACTTTAAAAATACTTACGTATGATATTGTGCCTGCAGAAAGTTAAACTCCTCCTTAATTCGTTCTAGTGTGTCAACGATTGTAAATTTTAGTGGACCCTGAGGTGGTGGTCCCTATGTATCGTTTGAATTTTAATAATTTACACAAACGTTGTTACAATTGTGTTTTTGTTGATACATGAAAAATAAAATATTCTTGTATTAGTAATAATTTTTAATAATGGTATTATAAAATTTAAAATAAATAGTGCCGTAATGCACTTGTGCACTTACCCCCGCCGAGGGATGACGCACCGGTGCAGGATACATTTTGCGCACTACACCACACAACTGCTGCTATTACTATTGCTCTACTGTTGCGGCTTTTGCGGTAGAGAGCAGATTCAATTGTGCTGTAAATTTCCCGCTTACCAAAAACTTCGAAATGCAAACTTATAATATATTGTTATATTATTATTTTGTTGAACGGCTGCTAACCGCTTGTCGTTTTCTAGCTAATGTATGATTTTACTCCGTTTGGTATATTGAAAAAACTTTAAAGTCGGATGCACACACCTTACACCACTACCACTGTTGATTAACTATGGTTTGAATCGAAGACGCCGCCACTTTTTCCACAATTTAACCATTTAAATTCGTCTAAAATTGTATATTCCRACAGTAATTGAATCACAAGTGTTGGAACGTTTATAATATAATCGTTCGTCCAGCAAGTTGGGACTTATAGGTTCCTTTACACTTTCTAGGCCTGAAGCACCCTGCGTCTTCCTTCTTTCCTTTTGCCGTCTTGTCTTGCACACTTTCTTGCACTATGGGGTGCTTGCGCTTCCTTACTGAGAAAACTTTATTTGCTCAGTTTTTTCATTGAGATTTTTTAAGTACTTTAGCGTGAGTTTATAACAAAATTTATTTAGTTACGTTCCGTGGGACCTTTAAGAACAATATACAATAATTTTTATTAATTTTTTAACAATTTCTTGATATTTAAAAGAATTTTTATTATTTTGCACAACTTTTTCTACTTTTGCTCGCTCGCTCGTTGGTTTTTTCCGTATTTTCTTTTACATGTCTTTTCGATACGTAGAATTATGCACACAAAGTGACATACACGTAACCACTATGTAGCACAGCCACAGCCAGTCAAGGCGCCCGCGACGGTGTTATGCGTGTGGTGGGAACCGGCGAGTAGCGAGCAGATTGTTGTAGGTAACGAGTCGCAGCGCCACCACAAGCAAACACATACACCCGCACGAAACCATCTACCACAGTCGGAAACGCAAACCGCATACACTAACCAAACGAACCAACAAAAAAAAAACGCTCAACCCACAGTAGGGTTGCATTGGCTTTAAATTAGTACATTTTATATACTCTTCAAACAGATATGATTTCTATTARAAGTTTTCGAATACAATTTATCTGAAAATCGCTGAAATTGAATTATTTATATTCAAAACTAGCTATTACATATGTAGCGCGAATATAAGAAGTCCATCTCAGTATTCCTAATGCAAAAATATATTAGGAAAGATAAAAATTAATGTTTTGCTAACACATAGTTAAAAAACGAACAAATGTAATGTTGATTAGTCAAATATAATGAAAAAATTATAAGTTATTTCAAACTATGTTTATATGTATATTCAGTGTCATCGAAAACACTTCTTTGGAAATTATAATAAATAAATTTGGCCTACCCTACTTTAATACAGCACTGTCATACCACCAAACATACCACTAAAAATCCCAACGTACAAAACCGACGTAACCAAAACGTAACCGACACGATCGACCAACAAGCGACCGAAAGAGCCCGACCACACAAAACTGAATCCACAAAAAAAAGATATAAACAAAAGCAATTAAAAAAATACCATTTTCCACCGAATCGAATTACTTTTTCAATTTTTTCAAATCGATAGTATTATTCATTTCACATTCACTTTAATTGTATAAAAATCTTTCTTTTCACAAAACTGTAGATAAATTAAATATTCATTTGTCAAATATTCCTTGCATTTTTCTCCATTCTTCCATGCTCTTCCATCTACTCGCTATTTTACCGTCACTGATGCCGTGAATTTTGTACGCATTCTTCGTTCCCSCAAGCGCACACACACTATTTCAGAAAACACCGAGTGACCGACCCAAAGCACGTATTTGCTAATCCAAAGAACTCTCACTCGCCACTCGTTCATTCATAGTAGACAAACAGTATTGCCAAAATTTATCAAAACTTTAACTACGTTAAATTTTTATGCGAGTATGCAGCAATCAATGGAATTCCTTTTCATTTTATTCAGTTGTGCAAAATTTTCTTTAAAAAATTTAAATTTTTAAAGCAATTTCATTTCTATACCCTTACGTTCCAAATCATACTAGTGGTTAACTTGTGGTGTTGGCAACTCTACAAAAGCGGCACCAATGGCGTTCTGCTGTGGTGGTAACTTTTTGCATTTATATTTTTCGCGAAATTTTTACCTGCACATTTCTTGCACATWATTATAAATGTTTAGCTTTGCACTAAAGCAAAAAAATTTATAGTTATACACTTATGATGCGTATATTATTTTATTGTTCACGAATTAAAATATATGACAAGCAAACGCCTATCCTTAACTTAGGCCATCGCAAATTAAAGCGTTCAATTTTTCTTAATCACGCCATATTCTAGGGAATCAATCCATCATCTCACATCTAGTTAATACTGTCGGAAATTCGCAAACAATATAATAATAACTTATTTAATTTGAATCAAAACAACGTAAATTTAGACGCACGAGGTACTCAATGAAGTTCACTACAGAATGATTGCTCTCAGAAAATGCGCACTCGTTTGTGAACATACTCGCTACCTTTCCTTTTGTACTTTGTGCTTTGTTAACTAGCGTTTCGCTCGTTACCATCAGTTAAAAAGGAATAGAATAAATGCAACCATGAATATTTGCAATTAGTGCATATGCGCAAAAGAGAGATGCTTGTCTGAATAAGTGGAACTCATTAGTTGTTCCGTTTTTTCTTAGCTTCKATAATTTTATAGTTAACCCTTATATGATACCTCAAAGAATAACAGAAATATTGAAAAATGGATTCCTAATAATTTCCATAATTGTTTACAATAAAACACTAGATAGAAATTAGTAGTTTCTACAAGCAATCATTTTGTTCCTTTTGCTTAAATTCAGAAATAGCATTAAAAGATTGTGCTAATATATGTATATTATCATACTATAAAATGTTGAACTCTATTGTGAATCTACAATATGACTGTAATTTCGGTTTAATTTTGGTTTTCTGCTTTCCAAATGCAAGGGATTATTTCAACAAAAAACCGTATGATAATTTATAAAATCCATATCAAAACCCAAAAAAAAACCAAAGCATTATATTATTTGCTTAGTTTTTGGAAAATATTTAAGTGCATTATCAAGAAGAAAATGAATTTCCGGAAACAAATTTTCAAATTAATATATCGATATAGGCTACTTGGTAGAACTTCTTTCTTTGGGATTGGGAACTTAAATATATAATTGAAATTGTATTGTTTTAAACTGAAAGATGAAATACATGTCCTTGTATGGTAAATATTTGTATKTGATGAGATATGTTCCCGAAGTGTTACATATATTGTTATCCAAGGCAATGGCACAATATCTGTGGAAATTATTTAGATCGGACTACCATAGTATATATGTACCTGCCATAGAAACTGACCTCTAAAGTGTATTATAGTTCGGTGTTAACAACATTAAAAATACCAAAGTTTAGAATTAGCGTATTTATTTTTAATAGTACTTTCAACATTGAACTCGTAATCAATTTCTATAAAGTTAATTACTTGTAGATAAACTTAAGAGTACTTTTTTTCTGTAACTATCTACTGTACGCAAAAAAAGTTGTACACGGTCAGAGTAGTAATTGCAGTTTTTTGCCTGTTGTGCATGCTCCAATCGTTTTTGTCGTTTAAATGCTTCCAAACGTATACTTGCTCGTTGGTATGCAAATATCCCACTTAGAAAATTCCAAAGCGTTATTTCTGGCCAAAAGATATTTGTGAAGTAAATAACTGTCGTCGAAAGCTAAAGAAATATACATAGTTACATATATATAAAAATAGGAATAAATCAAAAATTAGCTTACCTGCCACATCAAAAAATCGCTTATACGCGTTTCGCCCGATGTTCGGAAAAGCAAATCTGGTGGTGGAGAATGTCTTGTATATAGACATTCTTCAATTAGGCGCTCGTTGATATCTTCTGGTTGTAGTTCGTCACCAAGTTTGAGTATAGTTTCAACAGACTGTGTCATTTCATCTCTCGACGTGTATGAGAAGGCTATATTAAGGAATAGTTTATCATTGTGCTCGGTCATCGTCATAGCTTTTGCAATTAACTTCTGCAAATCCTTCGGCAACAAATTGAGATTTCCGATTACCAATATACGTACTCCATGTTCATTCAATTTTGCTTCATCGTTTATTATATTTAGGAATTTTTCTCTCGCCAAATCCAACAAATCCTTAACTTCTTCATCAGATCTTTTGAAGTTTTCGATGCTAAATGCAAAAGTGGTTACTTCCTTTATTCCTATATCCAAGCACCAACGTAAACATTTTGACAACTTATCAAATCCATGCGAATGTCCTTCTATGTTGCGCAAATGTTGAGATTTTGCATATCGGCGATTACCGTCCATTACAAATGCAATGTGGCGTGGTATATAACCACCGGATCGCATAATTTTCATGGCTAGTATTTCGTGCCATTTGTACTTATAGTCTGAAATCCACATTATCTCAGTTAGTTTTCTTTTATTCCTTTCCCTATAACACGACTTTAATAACACACATTCCTAACAATAATAATAAGAAATACAGATGAAAACTTATTTGTAACCCGCCGTATCATACTCAATCAATTATACCTGCTTATGAATGACAAAAACAATACTGTGACATGTGACGTCATAAAGCGAGAAAGAGCCAATGTAGAGTGTCAAACTTGTAAGAACATTTTAAATCAAAAACGAAAAGACTTTTGAAAATTCGTGGAATAAACTTATTATAATTAATTAGAATCAAAAGGTTTCAGGGAGAGAAGTAGAAGACTGTTTAGGAGAAATAATTGGATCATCTTTAAGTAACTATCTCTAGCGTTTGCAAGGGTTCCAGCGGCAGTTGGTTTTATTGTAAATAAATATATATTTTTGATAGTAGTGATATATACAAGTGACGTTAACGCTAAAATTAAAGAAATTTAATTGATGTTATTATTTGATTATTAATTTTATAATTATTCTTAATTTCAAACTGTCAAACCGATACCAAATAAAGTAACGAAGAGAAATTGTCGTAAGCTACATTTCTATCATTCTTGATGTCAGCTGACATACATGGTAAAACCAGATATGTTTTTTTTATCAATCAAATATTGCACCTAAATATATCATTATACATCGCTTTTATAAACTTAAACAAAATATAACTGTATTTAATATTTTGTAATGAGACAATTTGCACATGATACACAAAAAAATAATTCTTATATTTAACAATATAATTCATATTACACTGATATAAAAGGCAGTTGTCTCTTTCGTTCGTCTTGAAAATTTGTCAAAGCGTATTCAACAATTTCACCACTCGACCAGGCAAACGAGCGAGGCACGAATCACCGTGAAAAAAGACAGACGACAAGAATATGAGGCGACGAAGATTGCTGCAGCAGAAGAAGAAAATTTTCATTCGCTTGAACGTATTGACTGAGGAAATAATTTCTATTTATACAAAAAAAATAACTATAAAAGTAAATCAATGTGGGATTTAATTATATAAATGTTTAAACATGGAAAATAACAAACAACTGGTAGCGGAGAGAATTGTAACTCCAGGTAAGTTATGTCAATTTAACGTGAAAAAATTGTAGACCAATAAATGTATTGGACGACGGTGTTAAAGAACAGTGGAACAAGGAAGAGATTGTAATCCACTATGTAAAGTGAAATTAATAAATATATTTTTTAAACAACTTCATATATAGTAAAAAACACATTTTTGTTATTAAGTAAATTATTTTCTTCTTACAGAGCTATATTTTCTCATATCCAAGTTCTTGGCTTCGGGTCCGCTCCGTGAAACTGCTGAGGTAAGAGTTGATTGTAAACGAATTATATGCAATATAATTTATAATAAAGCATAAATGTAATTTAATTTTTTTTATATAATCTTCAGGTTCTAGTGCGTGAGTTGGAACAGAAGAAAGTAAGTATATTTATTTGCAATTATAAATATGTATAAATGAGAAGCAGTGGGCATAGTAGTAAGAACAGACGCAATTTATTTGTAAACAAACTTACTTGCTTCTACGTTTAAATTTTTTTTTTTGGAAGTCATAACGCCACTCTTTCCTGGAATAATTGTACTTATTGCCATTTGTACTACGGCTATTCTAAATCTTAATTAGTGAATAGTTTAGTAAAAAGCCTTAATAAGAAAATTACATTATTTCAAATGATATGCTTGTGCATTATGGCTATATCCAGAGCAGGTGATTTTGAGTAAATGCACGTGCTTATGCCTTTCTAGCCTAATACATACATATGTACATACAGGGAAATGTATATGAAATCCTTGGATCGCTCCAATACAACATTTTGGTATCGCGATGGGAGTAGATAAAATTAATTTGTCAAATATTAATTTTTTAGAAGATTAATTATAGTTTTTTTAAATTTGAATATTTCGACCAAATTCCCTTTACCTTTTGAGCGAATATTATTGTTTATGTTTTCGTTTTTGTTTTGTTCTTTAATTTCTTACTATTTACCAATTTTCGGTGCAACTAATATGCGGCTTTCTTAGAATGGCTGAAAAAATTGTATAAGTAAAACAAAAATATTATTTTTAATTATAGTAAGAGATGCMTAAAATAATTTTTTTTCTACTTTTTTCAAGGTTTTACCAAAACGGACGGATTGGCTAGGTCATGAACACGAGCAAAGCTTTGCGGAATTGGTGAGTGTAAAATATACGATACCTACATTTTATTCTTTATAAACAAAAAAATTTGAGAACAGTGGGCCGAATAGTTCAAAGGTAACAATTGCGTTTGAATTTTTAAATTTTCAAAAAAAAAAATTTTATTAACACTATAGAACCAAAATTTAAATTTGAATTGTTTACTTTTCTATAATTATTTATTAATTAAAAAATATATATTAAACAAAACTAAAAATGTAATTGTATTATATGCAATTTGTCCCACTGTACGTGCCTTCCACTTAAAATAAGCTCTTTGTTCTCGAGATGAAAGTTCCATTGAGTTATATCGAAGTTATTTATTTCAAAAAAAAGGAGGATTAAATCTTAATTATTAGTTGCACATTATTTTTTGAATAAAATACAGATGTAGTAACAATGACTACCATTGTTGGCACGCTGCTCCGCCATGTTGTTTCGTACGTTAATGAGGGTTGAAAATGTTTATTGATTGTTTTGATATGTTACAAAAGTTAAAAATCTAAATAATTAAAGTTGTTGGGACTAAATAATGTGAATTAATTTAAAAAAATTAAAAATTTAATTTTTAAATAATTTTTGACATTTCGCTATTTTAACGAGAAGTTGTCTAATTAAACAGAATTTTTGATTCCGTTTAAAATTTTAAAGAAATTATCAGAATTTTATTAATAATAGCGACTAAAAGTTTTTGAAATTGAAAAATATAATACCAGTAACATGTAAATATGTATGCTAAACATATTTTACTCAGCATTCGTTGCTGCATACGATGTTGGCAGACATTTTGACTAGGGCCTTAACGGTTGTCCCTTTTGCTCAAATC